TAATCTTTGTTTTTCACTAGGGGTACAAAATTGAACTCTCGGAATATATAAGATTACAGAAATCAATAAATTTCTAATATTTTCCTCTATCCTGTTGTATATGTATTCTATTTTTATCTGAGATTCGATAATTAGGTACAAGTATATATGATCGTTTTACCTGTGTAATTATTTTTACTAACTTAAGTATCATTTCTTCAATGGTCATGCGAACAAATCACAGATGTCGAAATTCAGCCATTGCCAACATTAAGTTGAAATTTTAACCGATTAACAAAAAATATTTTAAGTAGTCACTCTGCCCATTTTTCTGGGTAACGATTCCTGACACGAATTCATGTTCTCTAATTCACTCATTCTCAAGTTCCAAATTCAACAAGATATTTGTTCAATTAAATTGATGTCACATATTGGTGAATCAAAAAATCATTAAAATAATGAAAAGTATACATAAACAGATAAAATACACGACGATCAAGTGGAATTTAATTCTACGCAGAATCATATTATAAAATTAAGCTTGGCACGGGTCAATTCAATACACTTCAAGTATACTAGTCTTACCTTTATAACATTTGCGATAAGGACAAATCGCAAATACAAATAGTGAATTGATTAACACCATAATTTTCTAATATAAGGTGTCAACCCTTATACATTGGCTGTAAAAAAATTATTTATGATCAAAATTGAAGTTTTATCACACTGTATTTTTCATTGTAAGTACTCAACTATATTATCACAAGTGATCATAGACACTTTAATTCGTACGCTCAATAATAAATGAACGCAGTAAATAAATAAAATTAAAATTTATTTATTATAAAACATTATTTGATCACAACAAAATATATTATATGAGCACACAACCCAACAAATATTCCACTTACTCTAGAGCATATGTGCCATTTATTGCAACCTTATGTCTTGTAGATAACATTCGAAAACCTTACTTGAGAAACTTTTAGTATACGAGTCTATAAAGTTATCCTAAGAGAAATTTGAATGACAACCATATTTTCTCTTCCAATTCTCTCTTTTAAAAGATGCTATTTCCATTCAATTTATTTATCCCTTTGATGACTTTTGGTTCTTTAACATTTGCCATGGTCCTATTATTATCCCAATACAATGTAAAGGGCTGTCCAGATACAGGTACAGGCACTACCTTGATCTCCGTTAGGATTTTCTAAGTCATACAACAATTTAATTAGCATTATAAGCTGTCAAATACTTGGCATCAATGTTGAAATCAGCAATGCATGATTGCTTAATACTTCTTCAATTAGTGGTTCCACCATCACGTATAAAATACAATACTGATGTAGACCTGTTATAGTCTTCGTCATTGATGTTCGAATCCTTTTTACCTATGGAAGAAAGATCTAGCGAGGAACATATAATACCTTGATCTCCAAAGATACTAAAAAATGTGCTTTACCATCATTCAATGTTTCGATCCTAGGATTAAATAAATCTGGACCCATTGTACCAACAATATTACAAATGTCAGGTCTATTGCATAGTATAGCATAGCATACATGATACTACCTACTGCCAATTTATAATCCTACTCATACTTGATCTATAGGAGTCTTAGAAGATTAGAGAGTTAAATTCGATATTTGATAGCCAGAATCATGCATAGCAAATATAACAAGTACCTTGTCAACATATGAGACTTTGGATAGAACTATCATCTTGTTCTTTCAATCTCTCAAGATCTGAAACCTAGAATATAGCTAGCTTCACTGATTCCTTTATATGAAATTGTTGGGCCTACTATGCTTTCATAGAGGATAATGCACCTATATTATTTTTAATGAGTAGAATATTATCTATATAAACACCAAAAAAAATACAATTTATTTTGTATCTTCTTATAGACACATGGTTCATCAAAGTTCTCATTAAAATCATATGTCTTAATCACTTTGTCAAATCCTTGATTCCAAGATCTCGATGTTTGCTTCAATCCATAAATAGATCACTACATCCACATCATCCATAGCTTCCTTATATGAAGTTAGATAATCAACTTGTACAATGGAGATCACTAGATTAGACTCTCGACTCAGCAAATACCTTGAAGGTAAATAGATAATCATCCAATTTAGTCTAAAGTGAGATTAATCTTAGACTATGGTGTTATTTAGGACGTAGTATTTTCATCAATGCTGGTATTATTTAATTTTGCAATGGTTCGAAATTCATTTAGATGCAAATGTAACACATCTTTTGGGAGTTACTATGATTAACTTAGCAATCCGACACCTTTGTGGTTAGTAAATAAAATTTATTCTTGTATTATATACGAAACCTGATTTTCACCTCTAAATAAAGAAGCTAGGAGATAATTGAATATGATAAAATTTATGTAAAGTCATGATATATTCCATAAAAGCATTTTTACAAATAAATTCTCTTTGTGTAAAAATTTTGAGTCAATGTTTGGGCCAAAGTTTGGTAATAAGAATAGAAGTTGCATTAGCTAGTTCTGTGTGATTGTGTTAACTTATTTCTATAGGAATGAACATTCTACATGAGATAGATAGTAATTTGATGCATAATATAGTGCCTACGCAGCATGTATGTAGCAGTTAGTGATTTGATGCATAATACCTTATGCATCAAATCACTATATTATGGTATTATGCATCAAGCCACTAACTGCCCATACATGCTGCGCAAGGCGACTATGATAGTGAGCGACTACAAATAACATTATTCATAGTAAAATTATATCTCTACCAAATTGTTGAATTTAATAACTAACTCTCTATTTGTTATAATCCACAAATTGTGAATTAGCGATCATTAAGAAAAAAAAATGTAAAATCAATACATAATGAATTTTAATTAAAGGTTCAAAACTAGTTTACTTTACACGTTCCAACTAGAAAATTTAGCTACTTATCATAATTAAAGAAAAAATGCATAAAAGAGTTAGAATGCATAACAGAATTTTGAAGAATAATAAGAAATTTCAATATCTTGCACCAAGAATTATTCATCTTCTTGCAAAATTACTCCAAACCATATCCTCCCCTCAAAAGCTGTTTCAAATCTTTAAAGCCTAAAAATGAGTTTGGAAAAGCCAAAAAATACCAATATTAGGTTTGTCGAACCTAGCAAAAATGAAGTAGCTAGAGAGACCATGTGTCAAGAACTACAGTTTTACTTAGCCCCTTAACACTATTGCAGTCGCAGTTTGCCCAACTTCGACCGCACATTATAAATAATACTTCAAGTTTGAGTTGTAATTTTCTTTTCATTGTAATAGTTATTTCAGTTGTAAAATAGCTCTGATATTGGTAAATATTTAGTATGATTTCTTATCTTTTAAATATCTACTCCTGTCACTTAAGTTTTTGTTCAGAATGCTATTGTAGGGGGTATTAGTCATTCAAAAATCTTTCAAACTCACTGGTGTCCGCCCCCTGCACCAGCAATTGTAATTTTCTGCTTTTATCAATTGTAATGTTCAATTTTCATCAATCAATGTTCAATTTACTTTCAATGTATTCAAATTCTCTATTGTAAGCTTTCTACAAAATTGTAATCAAATTTTGTTTGGTCCCAACACGACCGAGAAAAGACGGAAGGTAGTCTAGCGGAGCAGACTACTGTCGCACGGTGTCCTTTTCTGTGCTAAGAAGAAAGGCACCCCGTGAAAGTTGGTGTCAGAGCTGCGGCTCATGACCCTCGATAAGAAAGTTATGGATCCAATTACATCCCACACCATTAAAGTGGTAGAGCCTCAAAAGAAGGGTATTACTAAACAGCATGTGGATGCGCTTGATGAGACAACTACTAGGTTGTGTTATGCTTTGGAAGGTCTCGAGGAAAAAGTCGAGATGGCCGAATTCGAGATTTGTGGATTACACATCCAACTGGATGAAAGCCAAAGGGCTTGCGCAGCAATGAGTAAAGCTACTGTGATCATTCCTAATCTGCAGGATGAAATGCAAGCGTTGAGAGCCCAATTGCGGGTACTCCAACGTGCGGTGGGCCATGGGCAAGCTCCTGTACCTGAGTATGGTCCTAGACTCAGAATTCCTGAACTGTGTACCTACGGAGGGGCACGTGATGCAAAAAACGTCGAAAACTTCTTGTTTAATATGGAACAGTACTTTCTCGCAGCTTCGATCGAAGACGAAGCTAAGTTATTTAAAAAAATTTACTTAAAAAATAAAATAAAATAAAAACTTATTTTAAAAAAAGTTACTCAAAAAAATAATATAAAAAATGTTATATGAAAAAAATTCTTTTAAAAAAATAATAATAACTTATTTTTTTTTTTTAAGTTAGAAAACTAAAAACTTATTTTAAAATTAAAAAAAATATTTTTTAAATTTATCGTATATATATAATACAAAGTTACCGTTTTACCTTTTTTAAAATTAGTGAAAATAGTAAAAAGAAATTGGATGGCCATAGTGAACAGCATATGAAATTAGGTAGTCGTGGTAAAATATTTTATGAAATTAGATGACCATGGTGAAGTAAAATCAAATTAGACGGCTATGATTATACTAAAGTATAAAGTTGGATGACCATGATGAAATAAAATCAAATTGAGTTATCATTGTAACATTAAAAGCCCCCCGTTAAAATTTATTCCATTTTTCTCTTTTATTTTCAATCACACAATCTTTTATAAAATAATATTACACATAAACCAAAAAAATTTCCTTATTTTACAACCACTCATTTTTCAAAAAAAATTAAAAAATAAAAATAATTCCACTCATTTTTATTTCTATAAAACGGGGGCCAAACGGGGCTAAGGATAAAGTTGGGTAGCCATTAGTCAATTAACCCAATTAACAACATTAGCATTTTTGAGTTGCAAATGAAACCATTTGGTTACAATCATGAAAGTATAACGAATGTACCACAATTAATTTATAGGAATTATCAAAATAATAATAATAATAATAATAATAAATAAAAGAGCATGGGCATAACGATACGCAGATTAAGTTGAACCAAACATCTTATCAAAGCGAGTAAAAATGATCATTCATCTAAGTTTCATACTGGTGCAAAAGTAGATTTAGAATAATCGCATTGATTACACAGATAACAACAAAATCAGCCAAGATTAGGCTCCTTAGCAGTAATAATGACACAGTAATTGTCGAGACGATCTGCTCCCAATGAACATTTGGGGGATCAATAGACAAGGGTTAAGTAATATTCACATATTCTGGCATAAGCCCAAAAGAAATTGAAAAAAATTGATTCATGAAAGAATCAAGCAGATAAAAGAAGTTGAATGAAGCCATTTCTGTAGAAAAAGGTGTGAAGTATCATGATAATGCAAAAACACTCCTCTGCTGGGAAGAGTCGTACAGAATGCTCGACACTTTAGTGGGAGGCCAGTACCGGAAAACGGATCTACCGATGATGTTTGCGATAGGCAGTGGACCCCTGAAAGGAAAAATCATAAATCAGAACATATGAAATTTCCCAGATGCAGGTATAGTAGAAAATAGAAATCCATTCTTTTTTGTTGTTTTCAATATAAGAGAGTTTTATGCAGGAGATTAGCCTCAAAATTTCACAATAAATTCTTGAATAGAAAGCACCCAAAAAATAGCAAAAGAAATCAAAACGCAAACATAATTTACAAAAGAACCAAAAGGCCAGTAAGGTATTTAGCAACACATTAATTACCAGTTATGGGAGTCGAAGCTATTATTACGGTTGTCTCCCAATACGAACACGCAGCCCTCAGGTACAAGCTATATTGAAACAAAAACAATGAGCAAGGTTTGTCAAACCGTTCAGACAATTTTTAGATAGATGACAGAGAGTGATACCACTGTATCCATTTCATAGTCATGTGGCTCCAAGATGAAATCCTCGTCTTGAGGAACACCGTTCACCAACAGTTTTCCACCATGAACCTACACAAGGCACAAAATTAGTCTAGTTGATAAAGATGACAAGCTAAAAGCACATAGCTTCAACAACTCTTTGACAGTAAGACTCACTTCTACATAGTCCCCAGCTTTAGCTACAACTCTTTTGATGAAGACATCACCTGAACTAAAACCGACCGTCTGTATAACACGTCAAAGCAAAACAACAGTGTCAGCTCCATGGTATGAGATGACATAGTACTTAATTCAGTTAACATGCAATCAATAATCCAAATCATACCTGAAGAATTGAAGGTGCCTTGAAAATCACAATGTCTAAGACCTCGGGATTCCTGAAAATGTAAGATACCTGAAATCCCGCCAATAAGAAACGGTTAAAATGGTAACCTCATCCGTCACAGAAAATTTATGCCCTCTATCCAAATCCCAAAATCATCAATAAATACATCAAGCAAATTCTAGGAATTATTTGATATCAGAAAACATCGCTGGTAATCCTCTAAAAGCAATGGCCATTGTTATAATCCATTACACAAGAAGAAGATTATTACATAAGAAGATCCCAAGCAAGTAGTCAAGACAACCCTCATCGTGTTTTATTCCAATACAAACTATTAAAATAAGGCAAGTCAATAAATAATTTTTGTATGGCATTAAGAATCATAAGCTGAATCCAGCAAAAAGTGGTAACGGATTTTTAGCGACCTGTTAATAAATGCTTCTTCTAAAATTGGAACAAAACCTCAAAACATGCCCGCATACAGAAAACGCAAATAATTGAATAAATATTGTAATTATTTACAAAATTCTAACACTAATATGCACCCGAAAATTTGATTTTGTTTTCTGGGCACAAGCATCTCGATCAAAACTACTTTTCTGACCCACGTTTTGATGGCTGGCAATGCAAAAGAAACATATTTTCAATACTTCAGTGAAACAGATATCCATCATTAGCATTTCTTTTGCGCGAATAAAATATATAGCATACTTCTCAATACAGATATGAATGTAAACGCCTTGAATATATATCATCCAATAATCTAATTACTTCTAAACAAGTCCAACAGCAAAATAAAATCTGGTTTCAATTCAGTCATCAATGATCATAAGAACAACAATAACTCTACCAAAGCTTCAATTGAGTCGAGTGAGATTATACCTTCTCGGCCATGACACGATCACCCACGTCAAGTGTCGGGTACATGGAAGTTGAAGGAATGGACCTTGGCTCTGCCAAGGTAGACTTGAACAATATACTGACACTGAAAGCCGTTAAAGCTGCCTTGGCATCCTCTGAGCTAATGGATAACTTCATCAATTTGGACAGCCAACTAGAGCTAGTGCCAATACTATGCGGCAAAGCCTTCACACTAACACTAGCTCCACCAGTCTTTGCCATCGCCAACGCCTCCGAGCATTTACTATTGTTAACACTGCTTTTAACCACGTCTTTGTTACTGCTGCTTCTGCTTTCAACCACGTCTTTGCTACTGCTGCTGCTTTCAATCACAACTTTGCTACTGTTACTGCTTCTGCTTTCAATCACAACTTTGCTATTGCTGCTGCTTCTGCTTTCAATCACAATTTTGCTATTGCTGCTGCTGCTGCTTTCATTCACAACTTTGCTATTGATGCTGCTGCTACTTTCAATGGTGTCTTTGCTACTGATACGGGTTCCACCACGATCCACCTCCGTACTAGCGGGCTCGTTGCAGGGCAGCCACTTAGAGCCCTGCAAGAACGGAATGATCGACGATGCCTTAATCGGTGAAATCCCCAAAACACCTGCGTTGGATGTCCCCATTGACTGCTTCATCAAAGAAATCAGTCCCATAATCACAGGCGATCGTGAATTGTCCCCCAAAATTTCCTCTGCCAGCATCGAGTACATCGACGACATGGGCTGAACAGAGACTCCGACGGGACCAGGACTGGGTTTAGCCCGGCGGAAATCGGAGTAGCTGGAGTCAGGCTTTTGGGGCGGCGGGTGACGAAAGATTCGGGTACGGGATGCGCATTCGTGGAGGAATCGAGATCCAGCACATTTGGAGGATGCCGAGGAGCCCATACTCGAGGCGATGTAGCCCGAGTAGGAAAGTGTTAATCTGATAGCCATAACGACAAATTGTAACAAGCTGATCAAGAAGTAAAGGAAAATAGTGGGGTTCGGGGTGGACTGTAAGGTTAAAGAGAGGCCTACAAGCCAAGAAATGCCATCAGAATTGAAAAAATCAGTGACAAATTGGAGAAAAAGAAGGCGAATTGAAAAGTCTGATTAGATCAGAAAAAATTGAAGGTGCGTTCAAATTGGAAGGCAAAAATGGAAAAGCTGAACCCTGTAACCGGTGGACGGCGGAGCTTTTCCAACGAATTGGGGGCGGAGAGAGCTTGGCTTCGAGAGATACTTGGAAAACAAGAGTAGTGATGAGAATTTGGGTTTAATGCCAGCAGCGGAGTAGATGGCAAAAATGGTAATTCGTTCCAAAGAATGCGGGCATTTACTTAAGCCGTGACCTGTCAGTTTGACATTTAATACCAATAACGTGGAGGTGTGGAGGTAGTTTCTGGGTGACTCTCCAACTACGACCTTTTCAAATCCTCCTTTTCAAAGCGTTCACACCCATTTTTTTGTGTTCAGCCAAGGACTTCATTTCTACAGAACCCCGCAATTTATTTCCATAAATCTAAAATAAAAGTTTAAAAAATTAATTTCTGCCCTCAAATCTCAATAGGAGCCATGGAGTCAGATAGGAGCCAAGGACCTGACTCCATGGCTCCCACCTCCTTCAGTCAACCATTTACTCACGACATTTATTCACTTATTAGTCATAAATTTCATAAGATACATCGACTTATGATCCAAAACAAACTTTATCAAACAGAGGTTAAATTCGCCACCCTAATCCAGTAAGTAGGGAGAAAACGAAAAATCAATCGAACATGATCGAAAAATTTATCTTCCATTCGACAATCGAATTGATAAATAATTTATAAATTCAGTCAAAGTTCACATATTAATTTCAGTCACATATTTATAACTACTCATTATTTATTACCTACACATTTCTTACAATTCACTATCATTTTTTTATAAATTAATTTATAAATTTGTCTAACTATATTTAATATTTTTTTCCTTCCAATCAGACCGGTGGATGATGAATTGATTATTGATACATTGACAAGATCAATTGAAGAATTTGAATCAGACTGTTTTAAACAGTTGAAGCTTAACCACTAAGCACCTTTTATTGACATTTTAACATTTTCTTTTGCTGGTGAAAATGAGGATCACAGATGAATCCTTTCATGACTTGTTTATTATACTCTATAATAAGAAGAGTATTTTAAATAAGAAGAAAGAGTAATATTTAATTTATAAAAATCTGTAAATAGATGACTAATTATGGCCCAGTTTGATCCATATTATTTGGAAAAATACATTCTTAAATAGTAATTTGACATCATTTCGATCACATATTTTTTAATAAAATAATATTACATTCAATTTTTTTATTTTTTAACCATACATTTTCCATCAATACACTAGTCAAAAATGTATTTTTCGAAAATAATGTGACTCAAATAAGGGCATAATAATATGTTCGATTTTCATTAATTTATTTTAGGATTTGCTAAATGATTATTTTCATCCACACATCCACACAATAAATATTATGCACGTGTTCTCAAATTTTTTCCCTATTTTTTAATCAGATATTTTTCAAAAAATACTATTCAAAAGTCACTTTCTTTCCTAATCAAAGAAACACCATCTAACTCCTGTGATGAGGTATGCACTTCCGTCACCAGTTAAAGTGACACGTTGCTATGTTTCGTGGTTGGCAACATGATTCTATGACTTTCATAATTTTAAAGAATTTTAAATCTTTTTTTTTTTTTTGTCTTACTCCATATTAGCAGTACAAGTTTGACCAAAATTATAAAATCCCGTTTGGTAGGATATCAATTTTTTACTCCAATTTAATAAAATGAAGATGAAATATATAATCGAAAAGTCGTAGATTTCATAAAATACGTATGTATAATTAATTTTTGACTTAAAATAAGATTAAAATTTTAATTTTAATCCCTATCAAACGGGGATAGAATCTATTGTTGTGAAAATAGCTCAAAAAGTAAAGAAATTTAGATAATTTGAGAATTATTTAAAAATATTTAATTGTAAATAGATAGAAATTGAAATGAATGATGGAAATATTAAACAATGCAAGTATATACCAAGATTTGTGGTACACGAGATCTCAAATTGAGGATGATTCATCTCTTCACTTTTTATTAAATTAAATTGAATTTGAAAGTTTTTCAATTACATCATAAGAGATATAAATAATTTAATCATGCTACATTCATATTTTATTTTATATCATTTTTGACATTGTATCACGTGACGACACATGGTTGCACAATTTTGAAAATAAACATAGTTTCTCGTCCAACACTTTTTGAATTCCAATGAAGTGCACATAAAAACGTCAACAAAAGATGTACGCTTATCATTATTCAAAGATGAATAATTTTACTCATCTAGAGGGTTTCTATTTTTACTTTCGCTTATTTTAAAGAGTTTTCTCAAAAAGTTATCTTATGCCAGATTTCTTTAAAAGATTTTAATCACACAAAATGACTTTTTAGCTCTTAAAGACCTTTAAAATCGAGCCATTGAATTATTTCAATTATGCTCTATTAAACTTGGTTCTCAAAATAAAGACTGGTCAATTATTTAAATTAAATTGCATCCCATACAATAATCAAAATAATTCAATGATCAAGTGAATTAAAAATAATTACTTGAAAATATGAGCGAGGAAGCTCATAAAACCTTGACAAAGCCAAACTAATTGGTACTTGCAAAAAGTCAAAATTGAGTAGTGGCATCTACATAATTTACGGGCACAAAATTGAGTACGACCTATTTTTCGTGTCCCCCTATTGGCACGGAGTCTGCCCGAGACGTGGTTCTGTTCGAGAATAATTGTTCATTAAAACCTTAATTTATTGCTTAAAAGTTGTAAGAGGAGATTACAAAAATGTCAATTTTGATAATATCAATTGCAAAAATGTCCAAAAATTTTTAATGTCCATTTTTGCGATTATTTGGACGAGATTACCCTTACGTAACTTTAATTAGAAGTTACATTAAAATGATGTTCTCGACATTTTAGATATCATTCTCGATAGTGGAATCCGTTTATATTTCTAAAGTACACACGTCAAATCACAATATTAAATATTCTCGACATATTAAATGTCTATAATGACATTTCATTCCGATCATGACATTTCTCTGTACTTTAAATATTATTCTCAACATTTTTTTGTTTAGCATTAATTGTGATTTAACATATGTAATATGAAATTATTTATTTTTTTATTAAAAGTAAAATAGAGAATTTGGTATCAAATTTGGCCATTTTTATAAAGATTATCAAAAGTATACATTTTTTAATTGACAATTTTACATATTGGACATTTTTGCAAATGTACCGTTAGGTTATTATACTTGCAACAGACAGACTCAACGCAAAAGATTTATTAATTTATCCCTGGGAAATAAAAGATGACGTCGTCAGCCAGCGTTACCTGGGTCAAAGTCAATGTCTCCATTGGTTCTACAACAGTTTGTCCTAACTCTTAACCTGCTATTTCAGCCTTCTCGAGGGCTGAGCTGAGGGTCCCATAGTTCAGTATTTTGTTTTCATTTTTTGGTACATATACTTTTTCATCATTCAATTTGAGCGCACACAAAATGTTGTTTGGCTAGACTCTAGAGAGAGGTGTGTTTTCCTTTCCACCATTTCATACCTATTCTTCTTACCAAACAATGGACCCATTCTTAATAGTTTCATTTGATAATCGACCAATTCTTAGTTCCAATACACCATTACAATAATTTGCCTTCACAGTTACCCTATATTATTAAGATTGAACTCCGATCAATCAGTTCAAAAGGAAAAAATTGAAAGTCAAACCGAATACATGTTCAAGTATACACTTATAACATTTGTTCAAAACTAATTAGTTACCGATATGCAAGTTTTGCACTGGTCATTGAGCAAACGATTTTTAGTACATAATTTAATTGATTTTTAGTCCAATTCCCAGTTCTTTTGGTTGAATATGTTGGTCCTAAAGAGACTAACGTTGATTAAGCCACGGCTATATTTGGACAAATCATTTATGGGAATTATATGGACAACAGCTATATTTGGACAAATCAATTATGAGTATTATACTACAGCATATGATTATGGACAGAATATAATTTTATCTTATACGTTATTTCTGTAAATAATATTTCTATAAATAGTCCTAAGCTTGATGTATAAGTACGGGAAACCATCATCAATGAAAATATTCTGGAACTTATCTTTTCCTTCATGGTATCAAAGTCATAACTAGGGATGTCAAATGGACATGGCCGACTCGCTCGGCTTTTTAAAACTCGGCTCTTGGGCGGCTCGAGCTCATCATTGGCTCAATCCCACAAGCCGAGCTCGACTTGTCTATTCTCGTCAAAAAATATGCAAATTTATTAAAAAAAAAGAGTCAAAAAATGTGTAAATTTATCAAAAATAAATAAAATCACGAGCTCGTGAGCTCAGCTCGACCCGCGAGCTCGTGGGTCGAGTCGATCTCGAGCTCGGCTCATCTTTCACGAGCTCGTGGCGAGCCAGCTCGATTTGGCCTATTGCCATCCCTAGCCATAACAGGCCAACGCCGAACAATTTCAATCCACCTTCCCACCTCCTTTTAATGGCACAGACACCACAGTACGGGGAGTCCAGCACTTTAGACTTGACAAAGTTGATCACAAAAATGTCCAAACTCACCACATCCTCATCCAACTCCTCCCACCTACAATATCTCATCCTAATTTCCAATTCTCAAGAATTGGAATAATTATCTCATTTGGAAATCTCAATTTATAGACATTCTCGACATTCATGAACTTGGATGTCATAAAAAATATCGTAGATCCACCCAAAGTAATGGCAGATGGGACTATCCACCCGGATTTCGCTCAAGACAAATTAGTTTTGAGTTGGATCAAGGCAACATCCTCACCTTCCACCAAACACTCCTCATCTCATGTTTTATTGCCTTTCGGGCATGGAGCCTATTGGCTAAACATCTCTCACCACCAGCAGGCAGCAGTGTGCGGCTCCTCCGAGATAAAATTTGAACACTTAAATGGGACAATAATATCCTAATATCTGACTACCTCAATCGAGCAAAATAACTATTTGATTCATTAAAGCAAGCTAGTGGTTTTATGGATGATGATGAACTCATCACCTACACTCTTGACGGACTTGGACTCAAGTTCATAAATTTAGCAACAACACTCATATGCATCCGATTTGGAATTTGACCAATTTTATGATTTAGTTTTGAAAGAGAAGCACTCACAGAAAAGACTCAAGCTTACCACTGCTTCTGGAGTTGCCATGGTTGCT